TGTGGTGAACAGTGTCCGTTCTGCAAAGCGCCCTGTGAGGCAGGAGGAAGAGCCCACACTGAGCACTTCACTTCACTTCATCGACCACAGGGTCTGGGTACATACAGACGGAGTAATACAGAACAACTTTGCATTGACATATGCTCTTCCCTAGTAAACAGTGACATTTATTTTCACTGCAGTGCTTCTAATGATGAATGGCATCCTTTCAAGCGATACAAAGAAATCTATCCGGACTGGAAAATCCCACCAGATGCAAGCCTTCAGGCATCAGACTACTGGAAATATGTACTGGCAAAGTTCAATAATGAGTTTGCAGCAGCATACGATGCAAAGCCTGCTGATATTCCTGACGCTTGGAAACGTATCACACCAGAGCAAGCAGAGGCAAGCCTCAAAGAGTCATTTCATATCTAATGAGAAACTACAAGCTTCGTGCTCACAGAGGGTCACGTCCTCCTCATTACAGTCAGCATCCTCTCATGGACATTTAGATTACACTTGATTTATATGAAGAGAAGCACACAAAGTAACATGCTGTTTATGAGATGGCAAGGTTGACCAAATATTTCAACAACAACTGACAAGGAATTTGTAAACGTTTCAGTTTGATTAACATACTTTAAATCCTTCTTTTTTGGTATAGATAAAATATTTTCCATTTCAACGTTTTAAAATATCATTCAGTTCTATATCGTATAAGGCTTCGCCCTCTAAGGCTATCGGTATTGGGTAATCCCCACTGCACGTGTGTAGCACTGACAGACTTATTCCACGCCCACCTATGACGTGGGCCACACCGCCGGGCTCACTTCCGTATGAATAGGAAGTAGGCCCTACAATCCACTCCTACTTTTCTTCAGCACTCCGTTGCAGAAGCATTGACAGGCAAAACAAGTTCTTTTAAGAGCTACTTACAGTATGGCGCATTTCCACTGCAGCGGGGTAGCCCCGTTTAAGCGTCCCTAAGCGTCCTCGCTCAGGCCTCGGGCTGCCTCGCTGGCCGTCCGAGGCCGTGGCGCATTTCCATTACAGTTTAGGACCTGGGGTAGCAACGCAGTGTAGGCGGGACGATCGGCTTTTTGGCGGGCTTTTTGGGCGGAGCGACGCTGGATAAAACTGCAGTGGCGTCATCTTCAATGCGACACAACTCACAAAACACACACAACAATGGAGGATGTGGAAGCGATCGTTTACTTGTTTCTTGGTGTGTGGCTTGTTAACATGCTGTGCTCTGTATAACCTCTGCGAGAGTCATGGAGAGGACTATGATGATGGGTGGAATGCACCAGCAGCAGCAGAGCCTGGGGTAGCAGTGGCTCAAGGTGCAGAGGAGGAGGGCACTGACATCAGAGAGGGTTTGATGCGCTACCTGAATACCTAAATATGCATTGTATTGTATTCATTGTATTGAACATAAATACATCTTTTTTTTTTCATATACATGTGTTTGTCAAATGTTTTAAACAAATGTTGTTATCTGAATTGAATATTTAGTAAATATTTGAATTTCAAGCACCAGTAAGTACTGCCCCATAATAAGAACATTTGAGGAAATATCAGATCATGAAAAGAAAATCTTTCTAATCAATTAAGCGAATATCAAAGCTAACTATAAACATAAATACTAAAGTGTAAAACACAGCAAAACTATATTCATAAATGCAAGTGTAAAATAGTGTGGACAATTGTAAACATGGATGGAGGCTAAAGTATCCACAACATAAAATAATATATTAAAATATAAGCTCAATCTTTCTTCTAGACATGTTAAAAGCTTGCTTGAATGGGTTATAGGTTTCTTATTTTGTTCTCTCGTCTTTGAAATATATAAGCAGGCATGAAAACGGGTCAGGGGTGAAAAAGGTGAGAAGGATATTATCCCTCTAGGGGGGTCCGGGGGCATGCTCCCCCGGAAGAACATTTTGAATATTCCATATTTTAAAGCATCAATCTGATGCATTTTGAGATGCATTTTTTTGCCAACCTGGGGAGAGCTGGAGAAACTTAACTTCAGCCATGAGTCAAAAATATTATGACCTCCTTACTAAGTATTATCAGGGATGCAAACTCATCAGGTATGGAAAAGGTGACAAGGACCCGAGCCCCCCGACCCCACGGAATATCGGCTTTAAAATGTGGAATAACAGAGGATTTTAGCAGTCAAAACAACTAAAGCAGCAGTGTTAATAATAACAGAAACGCTAAAGAGTCACATCTAATAGAAATATATAAAAGCATTTATTTTAATTGTGTAGCAGTCTCAGTTTATAATTTTGGCAGCACTGTTGAGCATTTTGAAAATGTATTGTCATGCCTCTGTGCAAGGCTTAGTCTTTCTATCTTTATGGCATCTGGTGTAAAGTAACTAAATTCATAAACTCAAGTACTATACTTGGGTACAATTTTGAGATACTTGTACTTTATTTAAGTATTTCAATGTTTTGCTACTTTGTTCTTCTTCTCCTCTACAGTTCAGAGGTAAATGGTGTACTTTGACTCCACTACATGTATTTAATACCTTTAGTTACTTTACAGATGTGGATGAATGATGTGAAATCTAAACAAGTGTTGAATCAGACTTTAGTTCCACCTGGAGTAAATCCACAAGCTACCCTGCAGTATACAAAGTCATTCAAACTAGCTGCACCTTTACCAGCTTTGAGAACACTTTCATGATCAATCATTATAAAACATATCATATATATTATTCTGAAATGGACCAATCTGCACAACGACTACTTTTACTGTCGCTACTTTCACTATATTTTGATGAGAATACTTTTCTACTTTTACTTGAGGAACATTTTGAATGCAGGACTTTTACTGTAACAGAGTATTCCTACACTCTGGTACTTCTACTTTTACTCAAGTACAAGACCTAAGTACTTCTACTTTTACTCAAGTACAAGATCTGAGTATTTCTGCTTTTAATCAAGTACAAGATCTGAGTACTTCTACTTTTAATCAAGTACAATATCTGAGTACTTCTACTTTTAATCAAGTACAAGATCTGAGTAATTCTACTTTTACTCAAGTACAAGATCTGAGTATTTCTGCTTTTAATCAAGTACAAGATCTGAGTACTTCTACTTTTACTCTAGTACAAGATCTGAGTGCTTCTACTTTTACTCAAGTACAAGATCTATACTTATACCACCTCCGTTTATAGCCTATGAAAAACTATTAGAAAACGAAGGCTAAAGCTAACGTTAGCAGATAGTGACAATGTATGCTAGCTAGCTAGCTCAACGATAATATTGCGACAAGGCAAGGCAAGGCAAGGCAAGTTTATTTATATAGCACTTTTCAACAGTAGGTGGATCTTTGCAGCAATTGGACCATGAAGGCCAGATTCACGCAGTCTCCTCTGAACAGTGGATGTTGAGATTTGTCTGCTACTTGAGCTCTGTGATCATTGATGTGGGCTCTAATCTGAGGTGCTTTTAATTTGTGGTTTCTGAGGCTGGTAACTCTGATGTGTTTATCCTCTGCAGTAGTGTTGCACGGTGTACCGATACTTGAAAGGTACCGCGATACCCTGCCGTTAAAAACGGTACGATTCCTCCGTTTCATTAGTATCGGTACTTTAAGAATAACGGGGAAAAGTACTCCGGTGAGAAAGTGCCGTTTTAATAAGAGCCGTGTGTGTTCAGCCAACTTCAGCGCTCTGCTTCCACTCCCTGCACTGCAGCCGTGCCTGCAGTCCCGCCCCTCTCAAGCACGTTCTAAGTCCCTCCCCTCTCTCGTGCACGCGGCCACGCTCTAGCTGCCAGAGCATGTGAGAAAACGAGAAGCATGGCTGCAAGTGGGAGTGCAACTGCCGCTGCGCCTCGGCTTGTTGACAAAAAAGACACCAGAAGCGAAATGTGGAAGTATTTGAGCTATATCTCTGACAGTGAGGGCAAGCCTACGGACACCACGAGGCCTGTCTGTTAGAAATGTTTCAGATCCCTGCAAACCAAGGGAGCCAACACATAACACTTGGCTAAGCACCCGCCGACCAGAATCCAGAGCTGTTTAAAGAATTTAAAGACAGACAGGTTAGCGAATGTGATAGATAACATAATTACATCATGCTCAAGCCCATGCCCTCAAATCTAAGTCAAACAAGTGTAATTTATTTTGTGACAAACGAACGTTTTCGTAGTTTGATAACTGTCTAATATGGCTATCTTTTTAGCTAACTTACCAATGTGGCTAACATCTGCAATATACATTTTGTCAATAATTATTTATATTACTGTACTATTACATGTTAATAAAATATAAAAAAAATTATATTTTATAAAACAACAAAGTTGTTTGAGATGATGCTTAATTTTATTTAATACGAATTCTTGTCATTTATTTTGTTTATTGTTCTCATTGTTTAAAAGTTTGTGTTAACCATATGGTTCTGGTGTGAAATAAAGCACAATAATTACATTTAACACTGTTTCCCTTTTTTTTAGAAAAGTATCGAAAAATAATCGGAATCGCAATTCTTGACTTGGTATCGGTATCGAAACCAAAATGTTGGTATCGTGACAACAGTAGAGGTAACTCTAACTCTAGGGGGTCCTCATGAGAGCTAGTTTCATCTTAGCGTTCGATGTTTTTTGTGACTGCACTTGAGGATAAATTCAAAGTTCTTGACAATTTCCGGATCGACTGGCCTTCATTTATTAAAGTAATGATGGACAGTCGTTTCTCTTTACTGAGTTGAATCGTTCTTGCCATAATATGGATTACAACAGTAGTCAAATAGGGCTTTCCACTGTGCACTAACCCTACCTCTGCACAACACAACTGATGGTCTCAAACACATTAAGAAGGCAAGTGTTTCCACAAATTGACTCTTGACAAGGCACACGTGTTAATTGAAAACCATTCCAGGTGACGACCTCATGAAGCTGACTGGGAGAAGCCAAGAGTGTGCAAAGCTGTCATCAAGGCAAAAGGGGGCTACTTTGAAGAATCTAAAATATATAGGTCACCCATGTAATGAGCCCACTTACCTTCAGAAGATTCTCTCAAGTGTACCCAGGAAGGAGAAGCCTTATGTCGTCAAACTTTGTCGGTAATTGAACTGACATAGCTGTCCCACTGCAGAAAATTAGAGAGTAACATTTGTTTGCGTTTTCATCTTTAAAATATAATTCAAGACAAGGATGTATCTGTTTATATCTGCCAAATATCAAAAGTGACTAGTACTTTTAACATAATTTCCAACTTTCCTTTTTTAAATGGTTGGTGAAACGCAGTTTTCTATCTGCATTCAAATGTGCTTAAAAACAAAGAAATACTGAGGTTGAACATGCAGTCAAGATAAAGTAAGCTCTTGGAGGAATGACTAAATAGGATGCACAGCATTTAAAACTAAATAAAATAATTCCAAAAGCCAAGTTACACAACAGCTATCTGACATTTATGGGCGTGCAAGTGGGCAATGGTTCATGACGAGCCACTGATATCGATTGTGTACTGGACAATATGTTATTCTGAGGCAATACAAAACAATGAGGTACCATTCCCATGTAATAAGAAGAAAACTAAACATGAATCTGGTTGGAGAAAAACAAAGAAAGAAAGACATTTGTTCTCTGACTCTTAATTACTCATTATTTGTTGTTTTACTAAGATTTAAAAGCCATGCACATTTTTTTAAACAGCCGGTCACACGATTTTCTCTTTTAAAAGTTAATACAGAAGGCATTGTCTTGTCAAATTGTAGACTTGACCAAATAAGCTTCTAAAAATATAGCTGTCGACCAAAGCACACTTTTCTATTAGCAATATGTTGCTTACTTAGATCCCATTGTGATAGAAAGAGCAAATGGTTCCCTTTTAAATTAAATATCAATGTGAAAATGTAAGCTTGAATGTATTCATAGTTTTAATTTGGTAGGTATTGTACCTGGGAATGTGTAACCATCATTGTCTGATTGAAGGAAACGATGTGTCCTAATTCTACAAAAAGGAAAGAAAACACCTTTGCTCATGAAGCCATCTGAGGTGGGTTTCATGAAGTTTTTGATATCATTTATTTATTTTGATATCATTTACCACATGATCAATTTACTGTCTAAAGCTCAAGGCTCAGGGTCTATTGAAGGAGAAAACACTGAGGCTGTAAAACATTATCACTCTTCAGTGTACCTTCATCAGCATTCTTTAACGTGTACTGTAATGATTAATGATCCATCTTTTGTATGCAGACGATCTGGCTACTCCAGTGCTGGTTTCCAAGTACGGGGCCAAAAATGATTTGCAATTCAACATTTAGACGAGTCTTGTCATCTTTATAATAGATGAAATGTTTTATAAATGGACTGTATTTATATAGCCCTTTATCCAGTCTCTACAACCCCTCAAATCACTTTACATACAAGTCATTCACCATTCACACCCATTCATGCAGAGCAGTGCACCCTGCTCTAGGAACTAACATTCATACACATTCATACACATTCATACACCGATGGCATCGGGAGCATATCAGGGTTAAGTATCTTGCCCAAGGATACCTCAACATGTTGACTGCACGGGCTGGGATCGAACCCACAACCTTCTGGTTGAAATACGACTGCACTCCACTCGCAGCCACAAAGGCCCAATGATGACAATTTATTGTTTTAGACTGATTCAAGCTTATGAAAACACAGATGTAGCTGCAGCACGTTTTTTCTATCATATGCTGCTTACTGAGATCCCATTACTTTATAAAATGTGTGCAAGTGAGACAATGAACAAGTGGTTGCCCTTTATAATGGAATGTCAAAGCAAGCTTGAATTTAATTTTGAGTTATATCTTGGTACTTAATTTTAACTGAAAAAATGCCTTATTAATATTTTGGGATTGTTGATCAAATTACTTTCTAAAGCTCAAGGCTAAGGCGCTATTGAAGGAGAAATCACTGAAGCTGTAGAATATGATCTGTCACAGTCTGCTTTCTCACTCACCTATTTTCTGCATTAACATTCCTTAGTCACCTGGTAGTCACACCCTGTCTCTCTCTCTCACTCTGTTAAACCTATCAGCTCCATTAGTATTTAGGCACACTTCACTCTCACCTCAGTGCCAGATCGTACTTTGCAGCATGCTAGTCTTTCCCGCATTACCCTCCAGATTGCTCTCCCGGTTTCGACCCTGCCTGTCCCTGACCAGCCTGCCTCACCTGCTCCCTGACCCGTTCTGTACCTGCGACTCCCGTCCTGCTTTCTCCTGGAACCCTCGCCTGTCCCTGACCAGCCCTTTGCCTACTATTGTATCTGCCGTTTTGTCTCCTACCAGCCTATTGCCTTCAATAAAGCTGGTTACCGACTATCCCTGGTTTCGCATTTTGGTCCTCAGCTCGTTTGTGACATTATCATAAGTTTACTTTCAGACTTTCAGTCCTCTTTAACGTGTACTGTAATGATTTATCAGACCATCTCAGAGCCTGATAACAGTTGTGACGACCCCTCCCCCCTTCTGCCTGGCTGTGCTCCCTGCCTTGCTGTCCTCTGGCAGGTACTGGGAGTGTCGTCCTGTTTGTGCCTGCCCATCTAGAGGCGGAGCCACACAGAGGTATAAAGGTTGCCCAGCTGCAAGGATCACTCTCTGAATCTGATCCTGGCATGCTGCAGCAACCTCAGCCTACAGCCTGTGTTAGGTTTGATGCACCCTCCAACATGCTCCAACACCCTTCCACACACCCACACACTGCTCACACTACTGACACTCTGATTCCGACATACACTATTTATCAGAGGTGTTTTGTGTTAACCTATTAAATAAACATATATTTGGAAATTAACTCTGTGTGGCCTCCCTAATTGTTCCAGCCTTAAGGCAGGTTGTAACACAGTATTATAAAAAACAGAGTGGTGAAACCCTGATAAACCATCTTTTGTATGCAGAGGATCTGGCTACTCTATCAGTGCTGGTTTCCAAGTACGGGGTCAGAAATGATTTGCAATGCAACATTTAGAAGAGTATTGTCATGATACTGTATGTAGAGGCAAAGGATATAAGGACCTCAACTTTCCAGATGTGTATCTATCAGGGCAAGAACAATGTGTTTGCAATAAAACAAACACCACATTAGGATCTTAATGATAAGAGTAAAGGTCTGCTGACAATTTATTGATGTGAATTTGTTCAAAATAAGCTCATGAAACTACAGTTTTAGGCAACCTGATCTCACCAGAATGCGTGACTCCACCACGAACTTTGCTACATTTACGTGTATGCACCACGCAAACAACCCCAATGTAAAGTGAATGAGGCTCCTTTGTCGTGGTGCACACACGCATTTCTACAACGTCCAGCAGTGAGCTTTTATTCTATAAAACGTTTTTAAAGCTTTACTTTATAGCTTGTATTAACTCACGGGAGGCTTCTTTTTGTATTCATAATAATTTGTATTTTTCGTCAGAATGTATTATGGCAACCCTGTCTCCTAAAAATGACGTTCCCACAGAACTAAACTGCATTCTCAATTACGTTTAGCGAGAAACGTATCTTAAATACGTTTATTTTCTACATATCTTTGCCATTTATTGTCTTGCTTATAATAATGATAATAGTCATTTATAAATATCATTTTAGAGCACACATTTGAAATCAGTAGGCGAGGCTGTAATTTCGCCAGCTGTTACTCTCATGAGCAAGGCAGAAAATAATAGTTTTAACATGCCAAAAAGCTGCTGTGTCGTTTATTGCACCTCAAACATTAAAACAAGTCCAGAGTTACGTGTTTCGGTACTTCCTCTAAGAAGAAAGGACAGTAACAGAAGATCTCTGTGCGGCTTCAGGCTTGATCGGCGTTCAAATGAATGGCGTTGGTTTCCCCAAAAGTGGGCGGGGCTGGAAAGTGACGTCGATTTTACTCTCATCTATTATTCAAAACTATTATATTTATTCTAACGTAAATTACATGCCAGTGTTTTATCTTTTTATTACTTATATTTGTATACTTTATTTGCTATGAGTTATATCTGAAGCAAATTATGTTTCTGAAGATGTGTAGTCAATTCCACCTTCAATGTAGCATAAATGTGAACTCTCATTACAGGAACAATACCGGAAACAGACGTAGGAAAGATCCTCAGCTCGCTGATTGGATGTTTTAGCCGCAATGCACGTTTTTAAAGATATTACTGATTTTCTTTGAATATAAGAATGTAAATACTGAGTTGAGAGAATAGTCAGGGGATTTGGGTGATGGGAGACACATCTATGGAATCACAATTTCAATAGCTTACCATTAAATGACGGATATACCTTTCTGTCTGTGTTGTTTTACAAATCAGATATTAATGTGTAGAAGTAAAACATGAGAAATAGTATAGCAATATCCTGTAAAATTATGTAAAAATATGAATAAATCTAAATATCTTCAGATGTTATACATACATAAGTGTCCTACACTAATAATACAAAGTTAATATTAGTATGCTGTGTGTACCTTGTGTGCACCGCCTAGTGGTTAAAGCACGTTATTGAATTATTTTTGTTGAATAATGTTATTTTTTTGAATAATGTTATTTGATGAAAAAAATATTAAGAGTACATACTTTCATAGGGGGAAAGTAGAAGGTCAATGATAGAAATATAGAATATAAAAAATCAAGAAGATACTGTAAGTGATCTCTACAATAAAACAGTTTAGTGTTGGATGTACAAAGATATTAATAGGAGGATGTGCAAAACAGACAAACTAATTAACCTTTATTAACATATTAAAGAATACTTTAGGTTAAGGTCTTCTTTCAAATAAGAAAAAAGCTTTGGGGGTATCTATCTACAGATAGATATATTAAGCCTAACAAAGTACTTAACGTCTATATTGCTTTCCTGCAATGTTAACTATGTTGAAGCACTTATTTTAACTGACATTATACACATTAATTATATATACTGAAGAAATGTGCAGAATATGACAGTTTAATGGTGGAGGTATACACACATATTGATAGTGTAAGAGAATATTTTAATCTGATCTGTTTATAGAGTCTCTTATGGTTCCTTAGAGTCTGTAATACTGCAAACATCTGCTTGTAGTCACTCAAAGACTCCTCTGTGGGTTGAGGTCACAGGTCAAACGCTTCTCCTATATCCGTGGGGGATGTTGAGGCTTGTCTGGATCTCTTTGAGACAAGCAGACCATTGTCTCGCATCGGTTATTGATTAGGTAAACGCGGGCTTTCTATGGGCCGGCCTCTCCTCGTGTTGGTTAGATGTTTTGTGTCTTTTGGTGCAGAGATCGCTGGTGGAGCACTGGACATGTGTGAAACTAAGATGATCTCCCGGCCGTATTGTCTGTACTTTCTCCAATAAAACTCTCAGTGCTTTTGGCTAACAACGGTTCCAGACTCCTTCATTCTACCTCAACATTGCAACAACAGAAGTTTACCTTCACAGATAGATGTCTTGTAATGCACTGTTGAGGAACCTGTGACCCAAGTTTTTCATTCATTGCATAACTACACCGTAGTTGTGTATATGATATGTCAATAAACCTTTGAAAATCTTGAAATCTTGAAAGGGATGTGCAAAATAGCAATGATATACAGTTTTTAATTAACTATTAGTAGAGAATAACGATTAATGAATATACTTTATAGAGATCTGCAGATACATGTTTAGTCTTCTCAAGCACCAACTATCAAATATCTCTCCTGATTGTTGGCACTTGACAATCACCTTCCCTGAATTTTACTCAGGTGTAACTAAAGTCTGATTTAAGGGTTGTTTATATTTCACATCATTAATCAGAATCTGAAAAGTAACTCAAATAAATGTAGTGGAGTAAAAATACCAGGTTAACCTCTGAATTGTAGTGGAGTAGAATTACAAAGTAACAATGAGCTGTCATGTGGATATATTAATGCTGCCCAATATGGATACAAGCGATTTCCCCCCATTTAGTAATTACATGTTTTAAATGTGTACACACCAATTTGTTTCCTATCACCTAAACCTCCAGGGCTGTACACAGTTTAATACTGTCAACTTCTAATTTTGGTAAAAACAAAAACGTCTTTTAAAACTACAATTCCCAGTAGAGACGTGCCATAGAGAACATGTTGCGAAACACAATAGCCAGCATGTGTAGTTCTGGGGGGGCGTTCGAGTCCAGTTTTGAATAGTCTGCCGTGGTTTCGTTCCATTTCAAAGAGCTTGACGCTCGGCGTAACCTTGGCGCGCTGCCACTCCAACATCCAATCCCAGAGCTTGAAGATTAATCACGGGGTTTGTCAACGGGACTGTAGTCCCAAACGATAGCTGGGGATTATGGGTAGTGTAGTGTCTTCGGCCATCCTAAACTGAATTTTTTTTCGGATATCATATCGCATTAACAACACCACATCTGGCGTCACAGAGATCTTCTGTTACTGTCCTTTCTTCTTAGAGGAAGTACAGAAACACGTAACTCTGGATTTGTTTTAATGTTTGAGGTGCAATAAACGACACAGCAGCTTTTTGGCATGTTAAAACTATTATTTTCTGCCTCGCTCATGAGAGTAACAGCTGGCGAAATTACAGCCTCGCCTACTGATTTCAAATGTGTGCTCTAAAATGATATTTATAAATGACTATTATCATTATTATAAGCAAGACAATAAATGGCAAAGATATGTAGAAAATAAACGTATTTGAGATACGTTCATAACGAATGTAACGTGGGAGAAAACAAGTATCTAGCTAAACGTAATTGAGAATGCAGTTTAGTTCTGTGGGAACGTAATTTTTAGGAGACAGGGTTGTCATAATACATTCTGACGAAAAATACAAATTATTATGAATGCAAATAAAATAAAAGAAGCCTCCCGTGAGTTACTACAAGCTATAAAGTAGATTTTAAAAACGTTTTATAGAATAAAAGCTCACTGCAGAACGTTGTAGAAATGCGTGTGTGCACCACGACAAAGGAGCCTCATTCACTTTACATTGGGGTTGTTTGCGTGGTGCCGACACGTAAATGTAGCAAAGTTTGTGACTCCACCACGCAATGCAGTGTTAAGGAGTCGTGGTGGAGTCACGCATTCTGGTGAGATCAGGTTGCCTTTTTCTCACTTGAGCCCCTGCCCCCCAAAATGTCTGTGCACGTCCCTGTCCGTCGGTTAGGTCCTGCGCGGCTCGCTCTCCAGTTCAATCAATCATAGAAAGTCAGAAGATTTTTGCAGGGAGCGAAACGGCAACGTCGCTGCTTAATGCCTTTGTTTTTTTTGGACATGTCTAATTATTTACTCCACTGAGTGTTGACAA